ATCGGTCTCTAATCCACGGTAATCCTTTCTGGCTAACTATACTATAGCATCTTGTAGCAAAGCTATAGACTTTGTAAAACCTCCGTTACTTAAACTGCCCGGGAAAAATTTCCCTAATAAAACACTGTATGGTGTATGCCCATCTTCATTAGCCCAGTTGGAGCAGAACAATAGGACGTTAAACCCCATTTTATTTCATTTTATATACTCAATGTGACATAATGAACTATGGACAAGTTCTAAGATAAAGATGAAAGATGACAGAGACTCGCTACTGCCATGTTAAAATTTAAAAACTTATGTTGAATGACAAAAATATCTTTTCTATAACAATACCAATACCATCAAGAAAAGTGCTCTCACTCCCTGTCCACCGCAATGCCATCACGGCCTGTTGAATTTAAAACAATTATTTTGAATGACCAAAATATCTTTTCTATAAAAAAAATACCACCAAGAAAAGTGCTCACACTCCCTGTCCACCGCTATATCATCTATAATGACACGTACCTGTCACGGTAAAACTCGAGACCTCGTTAGCTGCTTGTACGTCTGGTTATAGTTGTTATACAACCTGTTAAAAGGTCCATGTGCTTTCATGTGTCGAGTCAACTCGAGTAGTTTCAAGTGCATAATTATTGTCTAGTGTACATGATGTAAAAAAAAACACTAATTATTGTCTAGTGTACATGATGTAAAAAACACTAATTATGTTATAAAGTGGTATTAAACACTTAACAACGAAAACACTCTATTGTGGGGTTTAAAGGGGAGGGCAGATGACTAAAACACTGGGGTTTAAAGGGTTGTCCTGGTGACAAAAACACTTTATTGTTCGGCTTAAAGGGGTGCCCAGATGATGAAGACACACTATTATGGGATTTAAAGGACGCCCAGATGAAGGAAACAGTCTATTATCGGGCTTAAAGGGATGCTCGGAAGATGAAGACACTCTATTAAGGGGCTTAAACCGGAGGCTGGATGACTAAAACGCTGACTTAAAGGGAACCCATATGACGAAAACACACTGGTATGGGGCTTAAAGGGACGCCCAGATGACGAAAATATTATTAGGCTTAAAGGGACGCCGAGATGACGAAAATACCCAATTATCAGGCTTAAAGGAGGGGCCAGATGACGAAAACATTCTAAAGGGACGGTCAGTTGAATAACTACGAAAACTCCCTATGACAATACAATATGGCGCTTTAAGGGAGGGCCAGATGAATAACCACGAAACAACTGTATATCAATGTGGGAGTCGGCGATACGGGCATTGGAATTTTCGGGGTTAGAGAAAAGCCATGCAATGTTTCATCACGCTCCCAATTTGTCAGGGGTAGCACCCGAGGGAGTGGTATGGAGTTGAGCGTAGGGGTCTTTAGCAGTGCGAGGAAACGCAGATTACTTGGAGCAAACACACGAGGTTATCACAGGCGACCCTACTCCTTGTCACGTACAAGTCTGGGATCGAAACCACGCCATTTTATAGACCTCATGATCTAAAGTTCTCGACCCCCCCCCAAACCACCCTCCGAGTATGCAACACTAATAGCCTTCGTCCGGGAATAAAACGGTAACCAGATAAATAAGACATGTCCCTTTAAACCGAAAGTCTATTATTTGAAACATTGAGATTCTTTTGGGTTTTTTTGTGATTTTATCGGCTATGTGACAATTGGTCTGTGTTGAGAGTGTCATAAACTAATGAGATGGGATGGCATGATGCAACATGGTGGGTAACATTCTTATTTAAACAAACATTATACAAGAGCTAAATCTGCCTATTGCAGGTCTTTCTTTAGGCCCGAAATGTTATCTAAATTATTAATTAGACATTAATTAACTTATCCAGACCATAATCCACCCCGGTGTCATCGCCAGCCTGCGATATTTACTGGATTAGGATCCGATTTGCTGCTCAACTTTCATTCACGATTAAATCATGAAATGGATAATCGAGACTATGTTTTTTTTTATCGTACCGACTTTAGTAATGATGATCAAGACTATGCCGAAAATTCAATCGCTAATTTCTCGGTTCATAGTGGATCAATTTGACTGATATTTTCAGCAAATTACCTTTACATTATCTAGTTTTTAACTATTATAGTGCAAACTGCCAACTCTTTGTCTAATCTCCCATAATGTACCTCTAACAAAGAGTGAGAATGTTATATATTTTTGTAATGTTTCCCCTGAAGCCATTAATCGTCAAATAAAACAGATAACACATCTAATATTATCTAGTTTTTATTTGTCATTGAGCAATCAGTTCTATTAGCTAGGCATATCATTGGCGAATGGTCTAAAGCGTGTGTGGGTTGTCTCCGATACATCTCAGTGCTAACGACCATTACACGCAACGGAATTATTGAACCATATCTCAGTCCCAAAGGGACCTAGATAAACACCACCCCTCTCTCTCTCTCTCTCGCCTGTCTAACCTCGTGGGTTTTCTCCAGTTTCCTGCGACAACTAAAGAACCTAGGCGAAAATTGAACCATGTGTTAGTCCCGAAATGACCTAGTTTGTGTCGAGTGTACGTTAACCCCCCCTCTCTCTCTCTCTCTCTCTCTCTCTCTCTCTCTCTCTTGAGTTTCTAATTTTGGAAGCCATGTCGCATGAGGTATTATTTGAATGTTGTCATTTCTCTAATGGTATTTAGAAAGGCGAATTCATGATGAACTTTGGAGAAACCTGAATATATGCAACCTTTATGACGTCATACTCCATGACTTTCGTGTTATTCTGGTGCAGAAAAAGCCATCCATTTAGTAATGGTACAGACCGGAAGTCAGTTTGATACTCCCACACTTAAAAACACAAAACTTGGTTTTTGTTTCATCTAACCGGAAGTTGATGAAATAAGATTATGTAATGATATTTGATTGACCTTTTGGTTCAAACGTAACCATGTGATTATCAACACCATGGAAACCACTATGGAATGGAGATCAAATGAATGGGGTTGGTTTTATTTATAATGCCTGGGACAATATCAAGCTGTTGAAGTGCCTTCAAGAATTAATCATGGTCAACACACCAGGGAGCTCAAGGTGTTGAATCACTAACCTGGAGATTTTGGGTTCGGTGTTGGTCTGAGAATATTCTTCATGGTGGTACAGGACCTAGGACCTGGCAACGAAGGGTGTCTAGTTGCTCGGATGATACGAAAGAGGATCAGTCATGCAGCGTCGTGTCCCCTGGTGCAGGACGGAGGGTCTAACAAGGAATAGCATCTAGTTGGTAGGATGATACGAAAAACTGACAACCAGTGTATACATTAGCGTGCTCCTAAAAGATCCCTTGGCCGTTGTAATTCGATGAAGAGTAGGCAGAAACGCACGATGTATGCCGTATGCCCGTCGCCATTAGCTAATCCCCATTGCATTTCTCACATTATATCGTTTATGTTCTTTGCTTTGTTTATTTCGTGTGTGCAATTTTTATAGAGCTAAAAATGTTAGTAGCTGTGCGAATTTCTTGAATAAATGGGAAGTGTCACCAGACCTTTCTTAATGCACAGCATCCCTATGCACGGCATCCAACAGTTGCAGAAACAGAATACAGAATCTCTTGTTAATCTGGACTACTCGGCTTGTACAGAAAACTACTCTTCTGTTCAATTAAATATCTTCAAGAATTTAAATACGGAGACCGTGAAACTTTTCTGTTATAGCCTAATGTCAAAGGTTCAGATGGACACCGGACATACCAACGGTTGATGAAACCCGACTACCTATGGGTGTAATCCCAGATGCCGTTTCCTATCATCAACAGACTGTATCCTCCATTAATATAAATATTTACATGCTTTTAATTACAATCTCATTCTGGTATAAATTACAGGGCAAATCCCAAGGGACAGTCTAATTATAGCATAATTGATACGCTTTTTTGCCCTATTAACTCACTGCATGATACACTTGCGTTTATCTAAAAAAATAATCTGCTTGGAAATTAATATGTAGCCTAATTGATTCTGCTTTTAGCGAATGTATTAAACGTTCATAAATATGAATAACAGTATACAGACTATACACTTCTGTATATAAAACAAGTAACTAAACCAGCGTACTATGCACAAGGAACCGGACATAACGTCATCTCCGCCATCTTGGAATCGTGACGTCATATCAAAAATCGTAATCGTCAATCGGTGCGAACAAGCATGCCAAGTATCATGTTAATTGACGATGTCTTAAGCTTTTTTTTCGATAGGCGTCACCCCTAAAAGAACAAGATGAGTAGTGCTTGAGTCCCAGTTGCCGGTCCAAAGAATACTAAAACTGCAGTATCAGTTGCATTTGAGAACTGCCAGCTATGATCATAACATTATTATGGCAAAAATGAAAGAAAGTATAAAAGAGAGAGAAATGGGTTTTAACGTCCACTCGACACAACTAATTTTTTTCGGGACTAACACATGGTAGGGGTCTTTAGCAGTGGGAGGCAACCGGACGACCCGGAGAAAACCCTGCCCTACCCCTTGATCAACCCCGAGAAAGTATAAACTAAAATAGAAGGCGAGGACCCACGGTTGCTAAGTGCGTAAAGGCGCTGTTCCACTAACCAAGAGGTCCAGGTTAGATCCCTTGAAAATCCCTCCATATTTTTCAGCGTATTTTCCCTTTGTGAGTGGAGTAGGAAGCAGGGCCTGGCAAGGAACAGTGTATAGTCTTTCGGATGTTACGAAACGCCAAGGTCCCGTGCACATGTTGGCGTGGCAATGGTCCCGTCTTAATTATCCCGGTTGGTGCAGAAAAGTAGGACGTTAACTCCCATTTCATTTCGCATGTATTCAACGAATTAGATAGGTACTAAATCGTGCGTTTAGTCGTTTGGGTGGAACGAAATTCCGTAGTGGCAACGTGTACAGATTGGAATTGTTGAAAAAACAACAAAAGATATGTGCGTTTAATAGTTGGGAGGGAACGAAAATCCGTTGTGGTCCCATGTGCAGACTGGAATTGCCTCAAAGAAACAACAAAGCTATATTCTTGTTTTACATGAGCATCATTTATACACATCACAGGTCAAATTTATACAATATACATCAAATACATATATTATACAATTATACAAACATTACAGTATATCTCACATTCAGTCATTTATACAATATACATATATTATACAATCAATTGAATAATACATACATACATTACATAATATCTCACATGCATTCATTTATTTGGGCTGACAAGGACAGCTGTCTAGTGGTTCGGGTGGGACGAAAAAACGAGGTCTCGTGTACACATTGGCGTGCACGTAAAAGATCCCTTGACAGTTGGAATTCGATATAAGAGTAGGTCGTAGTGCCGCTGTCCGGGCAAAATTTCACTCCTAGCACACTGTATGGCGTATGCCCGTCTTCATCAGCCCAGTTCGGAGCGGAACAGTAGGACGTTAAACCCCATTTCATTTAATTCATTTAGGGTTTTTTCTTTTGTACATTCATCTATTTGTTCATTCATTATTTTTTTTTAATTATTTGTACATTTATTATTCAATCATACATACATTACATAATTTCTCACTTTCATTCATTTATTTTTTTTTCTTTTGTACATTTATCTCATTCAGTTATTTGTTCATTTATCTCATTCAGTTATTTGTTCATTCATTCATTCTTTTATTCCTGCATTCATTTCATTCATCTATTTGTCCATTCACACATTCATTTATTAAATTTTGTTTTTCATTCATTCATTTTTTTCCTCATTCACACATTCTCTCTCTTCGTGTATGGTTTCATTCGTTCAATTATTTTATCATATTTTTATTCATTCAATCTTGTCATTCATTCATCCCCCTAAAGCTTTGTGTTAATCATGCAAAATGGTTGAAATGATTGTTACTTATCAATCTGAATAAAACAAAGATCCCTATTGTTTTTTGTTTGTTTGTTTTTTTTGTGGGAGGGGAGGGGGGTGGGGGTATTGTCTGGGATATCACCTTTGATGGAATCGGACATTAGGCCGCTCGCACGAACAAGTTATTTTAAAGCTTAAATTTTGTTTAAGAGTTCTTGGAGATTACGTGCAATCGACATTTCTACATACATTCATTCCGGTACGTGTTATTTCCCATCATGAATCAAAATCCAGTATTGGGATCTGCTTTCTGGCTAATTACTAGAAACATCATACGCTGGTGGAATCAGTCAACGAACTCGCGTGAAATAAGTCCGACACGATGCCCACATGCACACATCGAATGGCGCCACTCTCGTTTGGCTGATATTCCATGCGCCGCCCTTTAAACATACATTATGCAAGAATTAAATCTGCCAATTGCAGGTCTTTCTTTATGGCTTTTTAAAAATTTATCTAAATTATTAATTATACATTAATTAACTTATCCAGGCCATAATCTCGATGTCATCGCTAGCCTACGGATTTACTGGATTATGATCCCATTTGCTGCTCGACTTCCATTCATAATTTAATCATGAAATGGATGTTCGAGACTATGTTTTTTATCGTACAGACTTTAGTAATGATGATCGAGGCTAGGCCGAAATTACAATCGCTTAATTCTCGGTTCATAGTGCATCAATTTGACTGAAATTTTCAACAAATTGCCTTTACATTATGTAGTTTTTAACTATTATAGTGAGAACTGCCAGCTCTTTATCTTATCTCCCATAATGTATCTTTAATCTATTACGTCACGTAAAAAGTCGATTCAGTTTTTTATTTATTTAAAACGAGTCGACGATTGCCAAAGTGGACATTCAAAATGGTGATGACGTCCGTTATAAAAGGGCTTTTTAACGCTATTGATTTTAAGACAATTTTGACCATTGTAACTATCAAGTGATCACAATTTAATTCCACCAAACGGACTTTCAATAAGAGGCAAATGAAATTGGGTTTAACGCCCTACTGTTTTGTACCGACTGGGCTAATGAGGACGGGCAGTTAGAGGGAGAAAAAAGACGATATGCAACGAATGATCGAGACTGTCTGGCTACATTCTACATGTACATATTTGGCATTCAAAACTACATGGAAAACAAATATTTAGATCTAAATTTTAATCAGATTGATAAGCTCCCTTCAAGAGAAGTAAAACATAACTCAATGAATTACTTGGTTATTTTCTATAAATAAAAGAAAATCCACCAATTTGATTGGCTGGCATAAATATTTCACTCGTTACATCGAGTTAAAGTTTTCAGCTTGGCTAAAAAAAATATCTTTGATTTCATTCTGTTTGTTTATTTTTTTTTATTTTTTTTTAAAAAAACAGCCATTTGAAGTTTATAGCAATGAAATAAATAGTCCATTCCTTAAACAAAACTCCCGACAACAAAAGCAGAACCGTTGTCCGTCACTCGAAATGGCAATAAAAAATGTCCATTCCCTAAACAATACTCCGACAAGGAAAGCAGACATCTTGAAAACTTTTCACTTTCTTTTGAAAAGATAAACACACAGTCATCAAATACAGGGAGGAGGTAATGATCGATTTCCTTAAGTGTTTAATACGTCCTCTTGAATTGTCGCCACTACTTTCAGCCACTATTCGCGTCACTCGCATATATTTTTTTTTATTTGAATTAACACAATAAAAAAATGGATGGTCCCTGTACTCGAGGTGTTATTATGGCTTCCTCGTTCGTCTCGACTTCGTTTCATCGCGAATCGGAAATTCAGCCCCTGACTCCAAATTAACTATAATTACATTCAGTGTCTGATGAATCATGAGTCGATTAAATTTTGTGTCTCGGGTAATACCGGTGATTTATGGTTAGAAATCCTTTTATCCCGATGAATGCGAATGTCTTCCAGGTGGTTGCTCATCCCCCTGTTGTACGGCGACCCGCACCCCCATGGTTCAACCAACAAAAGCCTAGACATATAGTCTCGTCTTAAAGAATCATTAATATAGGGACTAGCTAATGGTCCTAGCGACTTATTTGTTTGTTTCGGAGAAGCTATTTGTAACGTGTTCGTTTCTGTGTTAATCGGCGACGATTTTTGTCTCTTAAAATCGGGTTTAATGCGACTAAACACTCGCAAATTCGTCCTGTTCGATCGTCTTCGCTGGCATCTCAGAATTCTCAAAAACATTCGTCCATATCGATATTTCCGTCTATCGTTGTTTTGAGCGTAAACATAAGGGTCTAAAGCACTATTTAAAAACAGAAGAGCAATTCCACATAGCTTGACCTGATACAGAATAATCGACTCCCCGGTGGCAAGTTCTACAAACTGGGAAATAACAAGCGGACTCCAACACAGTATGATCATTAAAATAACCACAAGGCACATAGTAATAGCCTTATTTTCTTTGTCTAATACTGGATGTCGAGCACAACACGGACACGGTCTTCCAGACACACGTCGAACGGTTACTAACTGTCGCTCTGTGTCGATTGTTCGGTGGGGGGATATCGGTGGGGGCGGTACCCTGACACGCCCCGTTCCCTGGTCCTGCACAACACGTGCTATAATGGAGTATGAGATGATAATTATAATAAAACTAACGGTTACTAAGGGACTGATGAAGAAGAGGATGTAGTTATGACTCTGTAGACCCGGGCTGTTGATGATGGCTTGACAGTTCTGGTAGGAAGCGTCCCAATTTAACGTCATGTGCAACGTGGCTCCTAATGCTGTCGATAAACTCAGAATCCACACGATGCCCAGGATGACTCCGACTTGAGTCAGGGTCAGAGTTCCACGAGCCTGTCCCACGACACGGGCTTGTCGATGCACCGCGATAGCAACGATTGTTAACAGCGACAATAACCCGCACGTGATTCCCAAAAACAGAAAGCTTCCGCAAAATATCTGCGGCGATGGCGGATCCTTAAATAACAGATATAAAAATGTCGGCGATAAACAGGTACACAAAATAAAATCAGCTCCTGCTAGATTCAAAACCAATAAATCAAAATTAGACCGAAGTTTTTTGCACCTGAGGGCTTGAAGAATCACCGTACCGTTTCCAACACACCCAAGGAACAATACGAATATAACGAGCACCGTACAAACAGCCAACGTCGCCGTGTGTATCGATCCCTGGAACCCGACTGGGTCAGGATTTAGACGACTTAAATTACTGTAGTGCGTTTTCTCCATCTTGATTTCTCCACTTTGTATTCACATTCCAGCGAGATTTGAACGTTTATCACCACACAATGCAAACACTGGGTTTTAAGTTGTCGGCTTGTTGTAGCCTGTCTGGTATTCACCCGTCATTACTCACTCCGGTCAATACGATACGGAACTCTATTTATAATGGCGACACAAATCCTGCCAGTAAAATGTCGGTAATGCTCTGCTGAAGTTCTGTAAACACGCTCGGTCAGATGGATGAATGGAAGGGCAACATGGCGGGTTCCTGCAAGTACAAGAAGCAGACGTTAAATAATACGAAAGGAATGGTTGTGCATAACAATAAATATTTCTCTAACATGAAACAGAGGGCGTATAGATAACAACAGTCATATGGAACTCTTACATCTAATAAATACACCATGTTGTAGCTGGTAAAAAAACAAACCTTATATATTATACGTAAGAGGTGCTATTTTAGTATTGAGAATTATAGAATTACAGAGAAATGACTTTAGAGTCATATATTTTAGAATTGAGAATTATAGAATTACAAATACAAATTGTAAGGGAGTGATATATTTTAGAATTGAGAATCATAGTGGGAGAGTGATATATTTTAGATTTGGAATTTTAGAATTACAAATAATAGGAGGGTGATATATTTTAAAACTTCCATAGTAACTTGAAAACAGTATTAAAACTTTCCTAGTAACTTAAAAACAGTATTAAAACTTTCATGGTAATTTGAAAACAGTATTTAAACTTTCATAGTAACTACAAAACAGTATTAAAACTTTCATTGTAACTTTTTATAATTTGAAAACAGTATTAAAACATCCATAGCAATTAAACCTATTATAGCAACTTGGAAACAGTATTAAAACTTCTATAACAACTTGAGAACAGTATTAAAACGTCCATAGCATCTTGAAAACAATATTAAAACTTCCATAACAACTTGAGAACAGTATTGAAACTTCCATAGCAACTCGAGAACAGTATTAAACCTATTATAGCAACTTGACAACAGTATTAAAACTTTTATAGAAACTTGAAAACAGTATTAAGTATTTTTACACTATCAGTACAATCAAATATTTTACAAAAATAAGACAGATACTTCATTACTACATGCAAGGTGAATTACCGAAATATTCCTACCTAATATTTTACAAAGCTGACTTATCTCAATGTTTGCAATGCACGATCTGCGCGAACACCCGCCAGTCAGTGTGAACCAAGCTGACAAACTAATCCCATTAGAAAAGATTAAGTTTAATGTATATATGCAAGTCCTTGTCGTCAACAAACATTATCATGTTAACTCAAACATGAACTAAACAAGAGTCTTTGTACGTTATTCTCAACGAGTAGGAGTCAATATACACATGTAGAAGACTTGACATGCGTCGGAATAAGTATGGCAATACAGTCGAGTGTGAATAAACAATCAACTAAAAAAAACACAGCATGTCTATAAAAACGACTTGGATCTTACACACTCGTTATAAGCAGACTGTTTGCACTTTAAAACCGCTCAGTAAACTGTCTTTACGCAGAAAATAATTTCTTCGCTGATTATGACTGGCAAATGGGGTTTATCATCCACTCGTAAAACTAAAGCAAAATAGTTCTACTGATTATGGTGCTACAATAATTAATTTATATCTTACACATTCGAACCCGCGGTTGAATATGCATTATGTAAATTATGCAAGAGCTAAATCTGTCTATTGTAGAGTTTTTTTTCTGATTTCAAATGTTAAATAAACTATTATTTAGACATTTATTAATATGAAAAGCCAACAATCAACTCTTCTAAGACATCGGATTGCTCCGATTTGAAGTAGATTAGAAAATTGCGGCCATTTAAAAGTTTATAGATAAATTGTCAAAATTTCAAACACTCAAAACTTCACCGCAAATAAAGTAATTTGAATGAAATTTTCAATATATTATTGTTTAATTATTTATGGTTAGCACATGCGCGCCATATCATAAGGTATCATTGAGACAACTGGCGTGGTTTCGATTCCCCAGTTGTACTTGACAAGGAGTAAGGTCGCCTGTCCAACCTCGTAGGTTTTCTCCGGGTCCCCCGGTTTCCTCCCACTGCTAAAGACCCTTACGCGCAAGCGTATTGCTGAAATAAAATTGGACCATATGGTAGTCCCGAAATGACCTAGTTGAATGGACGTTAAACATCTCTCTCTCTCTCTCTCTCTCACATACACACACACACACACTCGTGATACAAGCGAATTATTGAAATAAAATTGAAATATATGTTAGTCCGTAAATGACCTGTCGAGTGGACGTTAAACCCCATCTATATCTCCCTCCCTCTCTCTCTCCCTCTCTCTCTCTCGTATTACATATATTGTATAAAAGAAATCACTTCTATAACGCACCATATATTCATATATAATGTGCTACAACTGTTTCACATTTTCTACTAACCGATGTAATGAAGCTCTGAACTTTAAAACTAACAGAGAAACTGAGTGCAAAAAGCAAAGTAATTTTCACCAAAAGTCATTACTCACTTTCACTTCTGTCAATGCCTGAATCCAAAGTTCAACCCAGAAAATATCGTTTGTTAGAGTTCGGTTTCTCTTGATCGGGTTTCCGACAGAAAATTCAGACCGAAAAAAACAATCCCGCGGCTGTTCTCCTCATAATTCAACTTGACATAACCGTAGCAGTTGTCAGCACTCCATAACTCAGTAAAACTTATAATTACAGAAATTCCATACAAGTTAAACGTTTCTATACCTTTAAGTTCAAACGTTCATCCAATCCTTTCAGCTATGTCAGACGAGGAACAGATAGATACTGAAGGCGAGAGAGAGTGATCTCTCCACTGTGAAGAAACGTCCTACAGCAAGCCACGTTAATACCGAACTGACATCCCAATACAATGCACCGCGTCAAAAGCCCTTGAACAACCAGCCAGCATTGAATGCTAGAGGGAATATGATAGCGTTTTCTTTCATTCTCGCCTCCACAGAGAAAATTGCTGTTCATATAGTTTCCAGCCCTCTAGGTGGCTATTACCCTTCACTGGGTCTGAATATATCAGCATAGCGAGCCGAGCCCGCGGCTTGGCAGGCCGTCATTAGGAAGGGAGAATTGCAGGCAATTTGAGCTACGGGAAATCCGATGAATGGACCCCTTAGTCGGGGCCGGCTTTTATTGTTCGTCTCAAGCAGTTAACAAAAGCCCTACTTCATGTTTTAAAATGCAGGGTTTGTGCGACATTATCTCATCCCATTATTTTCTCGTTTAAAATACTTTTATACTGTCTTGATAGTACAATAGATACACTTGCAGCATCTTCAGTACAACTTTTATACTGACTTGATATTACAAGAAATGAGGTTTAACGTCCACTCGACACAAATTAGGTCATTTCGGGACTAACACGTGGTTCAATTTTATTTCAATAATTCGCTAGTGCATGGGGGTCTTTAACATGGTTGGTGAAGAAAAGTAGGACGTTAAACCCCACTCCCGATCGAATAGACCAAGAATGTGTGGGTTGCCGAATGGTTAGCACGTGCGCACTGTATCATAAGGCCTGTTTGTGTTTGTTTGTGTCGAGTGGGCGTTAAATCCCATCTCTCCCTCTCTCTCTCTCTCTCTCTATCCAAGAATGTGTAACGCATGGAGTAGTTTTGACCCCTAACTTGTACGTGACAAGGAGTAGGGTCTTGTGTCCATCCTCGGGGGCTTTCTCCGGATCCCCCGGTTTCCTCCCATTGCGAAAGACCCTTACGCACAAACGAATTATTGAAAAATAATCGAAACATTAAATCCCTTTTCGTTCTCTTTCTCGTCTCAAATCTATATACAATAACAACAAACAAACTGTTAACCCGACGTAGAGAGTGGACACATTGTAATGACCCGTTTAAAACCCACGAGTTTATTGTGCTGGAGATAATAGCAACCATTTAAATAAATATTTGATCTTCTCATGGTTCGCAATTGTAATGACCCTTCACAAAGACTAAAAGATGACTTTGTTGTGGTTTTCTATTTTTTGTTTTCTTTTTTCTTTTGGATGTACAGAAGACATGGAAATGGTCAACACAGATTTCTTATTAGAGATGATAAAAGAAATAAGCTAGACATTGTTTAAAGATACATTATGTAAGATTTAGATAAAGAGCTAGCCATTCTTGCTATAATAGTTCGAAAATAGATAATGTACAATGAAAAATTTGAAATTTTCATTCAATTTACTCTATTGCGAGCGAAGATATTAGCCTTGGAAGGTTTGACAAGACGTGTGCAATAATTTCAACTACCGCACTGGTTGTTCGAGGATAAGACTCGCTCCTCCATTTTTAGCTTAAATCAAAATATGGCTGAACTGGAGAAATCCGATGACATTGGAGTTTGATTATTGTCTTGGTAAGTTAATTAATGTCTAATTAATAATTTAGAAAACATTTCAGGACTAAAGAAAGACCCGCAAATAGGCCGATTTACCTCTTGCATAATGTATGTTTAAGCGAATTTTTAGTAATTGGTTACAATGATTCGGTTTCTCGCCACATTCGAACAACTAGACCCAGGGTTTAACGTCCTACAGTTCTGCTCCGACTGCGCTAATGAAGACGGGCTTATGCCATACAGTGTGCTATAAGGGAATTTTGCCCGGACAGCAGCCCTACGGCCAACTCTTATATCGAATTCCATCTGCCAAGGGGTTTTTTACGTGCACGCGAATACTCGGTTTTTCATCCCATGCCAAAGGCTATACATTCCCAGTGCCTTGGCAGACCCTTCGTCCGGACTTGTGCACCACTGACAAGGAGAAACCACGCTGAAATATCCCGAGTTACTCTCTCGACTAAGACAGGGTTGATCCCTGCCTTACCCACTAAGTCACCGTGGTCCCCACGCTTGGTCAAGTCTTCAACTGTGTGGTTTCCCCTGATCAACAATTTGCTAGGTGTTTCAATTGTACATTATGTATATTAGTCAATTTCCCGATTGTGTTCATTTTCCACTCGATAACAGCAAAAGACTCGTTGTTGAACAACCGATCCAATATTATTACCTCCTAGAAGAGGGTAATAATAACGAAATAAGAAGGTAACGGCAACCCGTTTTTACCGTTCGGTAAATTTATGACTTCCAACATCTCTCCTATTCAATTTAGTAATTGTTTCCATGAAAGTCCAAATTATACATATGTATAGCCCGTCTTCATTAGCCCAGCATAGGAGCAAAACAGTAGGATATTAAACCCCATTTCATTTAATTTCATTACATATGTATAGAAGACTGTTTTTTGTTTTCAAACTATATCCATTTGTATAGTTAATAACCACAAGGGTATATTGAAACGTTGTCCCAGTTATATTCAGCAAATTGTATACAGAAGTTTTGTGGGGGGGTTTTTAATTAATAAAGAATCGATCAAGAATTCCCCGGGATTTTGACAGAATTGTGATCGGATCAGCAGTTCTTTTTGTAATACATCAACGGGACCGAGGTTAAAAATAACACTACTGTAATGAAATGAAATGGGGTTTAATGTCCTATTGGTCTGCTCCTAACCTGGGCTAATGAAGACGGGCATACGCCATACAGTGTGCTTTGAGGGAAATTTTGCCCGGGCAGCGGCGCCACGGCCTACTCTTATATCGAATTCCAACTGCCAAGGGATCTTTTACGTGCACGCTAATGTGTACACTGGACCTCGGTTTTTCGTCCCATCCGAACGACTAGACAGCTGTCCTTGTCAGGCTCTCCGAATAACACCACTAATGGTCTATATCATACCTTAACCCAATATAGTAACAACCTTCATGGACTCGACAACTGGAATCGTTCAAGATAATGAACGCAATCTGAATGAGATGTGACATTCAGAGTGGAAATATAACAAGTAGTTTCCATACCGCTACATCACCACACCCTTCACATAAAATATATAAAAAAAAACTTACTAAAAATACGATCAAGTCGCGACCGTAACAAAACCTCCCAAACTACCTGGACCCCATCTCCTTTTATTTGCTAGACGACAATTGAGACGGGTAGATGGCGGTAATTCGATGTTTTGTCGAGGGGAAAGGCTTGTTTTACGGCTATATTATACTCGACATTACTTCGTGATTCATTCAAATAACTTCCCCAAAACATTGAATAGTCGGCCTCTAATGTTTAGAACGCCATCAATTAGTGACAAGCCAACTTGGATATTTGTTCTTTTCTACGTGCGAGCGACAATAGAAGCCGAATGTTGGATTTTTTTACCTCGGTCTCTCAGCTTGTTTGTAAACACCACATAGTGCCCACACTTGGCTAGAGACTGTAAACTGAGTCGGATTGCTTGTGGACTCGGCAAACATTAGTTGCTTTGATAAGATCCTGACTAAATCCTCGCCTGTTCAGAAAGTCCCCGGTAAAGACGACCCATCTATTGAATTCTATTGCGTGCCTTTAATACGCGTAGTTCCTCAGATCAGTAACAATGTCACAACTCTACTCATAATTCTCCGTTTAATCTCCATCTATAACAAACATTGGATTAACTAATCACAATATCTTTACATGCAGGCCATCCTCGTCTATCATATGTCTTTACTGGACAAATACAATCTTTAAGAATAATTTTTATTGAATGGTCATACAACTCTAAGTCCATATCTTCATGTTCTAGACAAATAGAATCTTTAAGAATAATTTTATTGTATGGTCATATACCTCTAAGTTCATATCTTCACGTTCTATGGTATTATATTTGAGAGACCCTACACTATCAGAATCACATTTCTGGGGAGCCGCTGTGACTCAGTTAGTTAGAGAGAAGGTCCTGTTTTCGATCCCCGGTGTTGGACAACCATAAGAATATTTTTTATTGTATGGTCATACATCTCTTAAGTTCATATCTTCACGTTCTATGGTATTATATTTGAGAGACCTATATCTATAACTTCCATGGCAGATTCACATTTCTGGGTTACAGTTTGTTAGACTGAAGGTCCTGTTTTCGATCCCCGCTGTTGGACAATCCTAAGAATAGAACTGACACTAAATGCCACTAAAGGATTATAATCCTATTAGAATAATTTTTATTGTATGGTCAAACATCTCGAAGTTCATATCTTCACGTCCTATGGTGTTTCATACCTGATTCTCATTTCTGAGTTACAGAATTTTTATGAATAAATAAGCATTATATTGGAGAGAACAACAAATCATTGATAAGTGAACAACACTCCATTGCCAGAGAACAACTCGTTGGTAAGTGAACAACATTACCTGATCAGAAAACAACACCTGAACAACCAACTACAAACATCTCAATGATCGATCAGAAACCAACACTTCATTGCTAAAGATCAAAACCTCCAATAGTCTGATAAAATTAATGGTCCGAGAACAATAACACAGTCATCAGAGAACGGCCATTTTATGAATATACAAGAATACTTATACGACCTGTGTCCCTATTACATACTGTATATCGTCTTCATTTCGTCATTAGCCCAGTTGGTGAAGAAAAGTAGGACGTTAAAAACAATTTCATTAAACATACATTATGCAAGAGTTAAATCTGCCTATTGCAAGTCTTTCTTTAGGCCCGAATTAAATTAATTAGACATTAATTAACTTATCCAGACCATAATCAAGTCTAGATGGCATCGCTAGCCTGTTTTACTGGATTATGATCCCATTTGCTACTCGGTTCATAGTAGATCAATTTGACTGAAATTTTCAGCAAATTG